ATACAACTCAAAATGAGGAGAAACAGCTACAAGCTTACATTAATAATTAGAACATGGAATGTATGAAGTATGAATCTAAAAAAATTAGAAGTTGTTGAAAATGAAATGGAGTTGAAATGGACTGGTATTGGTCATTTTGAATCTGACAATCACATGTTTACTATGCTGGGAATGACAAATTGACGAGGTATGGTGTCACATTCATCATCAAAAAGAATATTTTAAAGTAGCATGCAGTCTGTGATAGGGTAATATCCATATGCCTACAAGGAGGACCTCATATTGAATTGTGCCCCATCAGCAAATGAAGGTTCTGAAAGCTGTACTTCGTTTGTGTCATCCTAGTCAACTATATTTTTAAAAGGCAGCTCTTCCCCAGTCATATTTTGAGTGCCTTATAGACCCAAGGGACTCATTTTCTGGCACTGTATCTGACAATATTCTGTATTATATAAAGGAAAACATGGTATCAGGGTCGGAAGAAGACTCATTAACAAACTGCAATATACAGATGATACAACCTTGCTTGCCGAAAGTGAAGAGGACTTAAAATACTTGCTCATGAAGATAAAAGACCACAGCCTTTGGTATGGGTTGCATCTCAATGTAAAGAAAGCAAAAATCCTCACCACTGGACTAATAAACAACATTCTTATTAATACAGAAAAGATTGAAGTTGTCAAAGACTTCATTTTGGGTCAGAACAACAACAGACGGGCTAAATGTTGAATGATGCACAAAACATCCAAAGAAGATGGGAAAAACACACAGTCATTGTACCAAAAACAAATGTTTAATGTTCAAACATTTCAAGAGGTAGCATATGACTAAGAGTCAATGGTACTGAAGGAAGAAGTCCAAGGTGCACTGAAGGCACTGGCAAAGAACAAGACTCTAGGAATTCATGGAATGACTGCAAAATGAAATCTTTCTACAAACTGATGCAGCACTGGAGGCACTCACTCATCTATGCCAAGAAATTTGGAAGATAGCTAGGTGGCCAACTGATTGGAAGAGATCCATATTTGCACCTGTTCCAGAGAGAGGTGACCCAATGGAATGTGGAATTCATTAAACAATATCATTAATATCACATGCAAGTAAATTTTTGCTTATTAAGATAATTATCTTAATAAATTAAGATAATTCAAATATGGCTGCAACAGTACATTGTCAAGGAACTGCCAGAGGCTCAAGCTGGATTCAGATGAGATCATAAAAGGAAGGCTATTATTGCTGATGTCAGATGGATCTTGGCTGAAAGCAGAGAATACCAGAAAGATGTTTGCCTTTGCTTTATTGACTATGAAAAGGCTTTCAGCTGTGTGGATCATGATAGTCTATGGAAAACATTGAGAAATATAAGTATTTTGGAACACTTAATTGTGCTCTTGAGGAACTTACCTGTACATAGACCAAGAAGAAATCATTTGAACAGAAGAAAGGGCCACTGAATAGTTTAAAATCAGGAAAGATGTGTGCCAGGATTGTATTCTTTCTCCTACTTATTAATCTATGCTGAACAAATATTCTGAGAAGACAGATTCTATCAAAAAGAACATGGCATCAGGATTGGAAGAAGACTCATTAACAGCCTGAATTATGTAGATGATACAACCTTGCTTGCTGAAAGCAAAGAGGACTTAAAATACTTACTGATGAATATCAAAGACCACAGCCTTCAGTATGGGTTGCACTTCAATGTAAAGAGAACAAATATTCTCACCACTGGACCAATAAATAATATCATGATAAGTGAAGATAAGTGGAGAAAAGATTGAAGTTGTCAAAGGCTTCCTTTTGCTTGGATCCACTATCAACACTCACTGAAGCAGCAGTCAAGAAATCAAACGACTTTACTGCATGAGGCAAATCTGCTGCACAAGACCTGCTTAAAATGTTCAAGAGCAGATATGTCAGTGTTAGGACTAAGGTTCGCCGGACCCAAACCATGATATTTTCAATAACCTCATGCATGTGAACGTAGGACAATGAATAAGGAAGACCACACAGACAGAAGTATTGATCCATTTGAGTTATGATGTTGGAGAAGATTATTAAAAGTACCATAGAAGACCAAATCTGTGTTGGAAGAAGTATGGCTAGCATGCTCCTTAGAAACCAGGATGGTGAGACTTTTGTCTCTCATACTTCAACATATTATCTATCAGTAAGGTCCAGTCCCTGGAGAAAGACAGCATTCTTGATAAAGTGAAAGGTCAGCGAAAAACAGGAAGATACCCCCCACTCCCCACCCCAATGAGATGGATTGGCACAGTGGCAAAAGCAATGGGCTCAAGCATAACAATGATTGTGAGCACTCGATGGCACTTAACAACAACCCATTCATTCATTCATCTATTTATCGTTCATATTTTTATGAGCTCTGGTAGCGTAGTGGTTACGAATCGGGCTGCGAGCCGCAAGGTCAGCAGTTCGAAACTACCAGCAGTTCTGCGGGAGAAAGAGGAGGCAGTCTGCTCCCGTAAAGATTTACAGCCTCGGAAACCCTGTGTAGGGTCACTATGAGTTGGAACCGACTCCATGGCACATCACAACAACAACAACAATTTTTATTCATTCATCCATTCCATATCTGTCTTGTCCACATATATTCATCTACTTATCCACAGTTAGTCTATCAATTTATTTACCCATCCAACTATCAGTCTATATATTTTCACTTGCTTTTACATCCACTTCTCCATTTCTCCAGCAGTGCATATATTCATTAAAATGTGAACCTACCCACCACCCAAACAAACATGTCTTGTGGATATTAGGGTACATACATGGTCTCATGCTGGGTAAGATGGAGGGTCAGAGAAAAAGAGGAAGAACCCCAACGAGATGGAACGGCCAGGTGGCATCACTGATGGCGTCAAGTGTGGCGGCGGTAGTGAGGTTGGCCCAGGATCGGACATTGTTTCGTTTTGCTGTGCATGGGGTCGCTATGAGTCAGTTCTGACTTGATGGCACCTGACAACAACAACAACAACAACAACAACATGGTCTCATGGAGCTACAGCTGTGCCTTAGTCAGGAGGGACCAGTCACTGGAGAAGGATATCATGTTTGGTAAAGTGGAGGGTTGGAGAAGAAGAGAAAGATTCCCAACAAGATGGATTGGCACAGTGGCAGCATCGGTGGGCTCAAACATAGCAATGATTGTGAGGTTGGCCCAGGGCCGGGCAGTGTTTTGTTCTGTTGTGCATAGGGTTGCTATGAGTTGGTACCAACTCAATGGCACCTAACAACAGTAACAAGCCTTAGTTAACCATCACTCAACATATGTTTCCTAATCATGTCCCTCAGGCCACTTGCTGTAGTAATAGCTGATGGCATAGCAGTTGATGAGACAGACACACCTCTCCCTCATAGAGGTTATATTGTCTGTAGACAGACAATAAACAAGCAAAAAGAGACAAGTTAATTTCCTGCAGTGAATGGCAATGAAGACCATAAGGCTCAAGAGGAAATGGTGGTGCAGTAGATAGGGAGTTTTCCCAAGCCTAAACTTACATCAGGAAGGGAACCCAAGTCTCTTTTGTGACTGGATTTGGAGGAGCATCTAGGAGGTCAATGGAGCTGGAACCAAGTGGGCAAGGGAGAGGGTTGGGGTAGATGAGGGCCTCGAGATGACAGGATTGAACATGCAGGTCTTGGAATGACCCAGAACGGTACTGGGATTTCATTCTGTGTGCAACAGGAAGCCACAGGGGGATTTTAAGCAGAACTGACGTGGCCTGATTCATGATTTTAGAATATCCGTTTAACTGCTGTTGGTGTTAAGTGCTGTCAACAGCTGTTAAATGGACATTTAAGCAGTTAAACGGATATTTACAGTGTGACTTTGTATAGCGTTTCCAAGGAACAACTAGTGAGCTTGAACCACCTACCTTTAGGTTCAAATCAACCTTGCAGTCCAGTGCATTAACCCTGTAAATAGGACAAAAGCGAGGAGACCTGGGCAGGGACGACTGTATGAGTCAAGACCAGTGAGAGGAAGTAGAGCGAAGTGGGCAGAATCAGGATCTATTTGGTGGGTGGAGCACACAGTGAATGATCAGTCGGCACCTTCTGCCCATGACCCAGCTCCAGTGTATCACCTGGAAGACAGCTTGGTTTCTCAGCATAAATGAGTATCAGAATTTCCTGGAACTGTGCTCAAATACAGATTCCTTGGCTCTATCTTCAGAGAGTCTGATACCTAGCTAAATCTAGGTCAAGCAGAAAGAATGGAGGGAGGTCAGAAAGGAAGACATTTATGCATATGATTGAAAAATATCTCTCAGCTTCAGGATTGGTTGCATCTAGGTGCCAAAACATGTCATAAGGAACCTGTCTCTCCCTCTTGGCTCTGCTCTCCTATGTGTAGGTGTCTCTCTAGACAGGTCCTGATGTAGAAGGCTCCCCACCTTACATTTTACCCATTTAGTAATCCTTGTAGAAAAGAACTTTTCTCCCCTCAAAGTCCAAGGGCTGACTCACTAGATCAACTTGGGTTACATGCTGACCCAGCCTCTTTATGCGGAAGGAAACGTGACCCTTGTAAGAAAAAAAGAGGAATGGATGTTGGTGAGACTAAAATACAAGTCCCCATTAGAGTAACTGGTGCGAGCCAGCAATCTGTGTTTTAGGACTGGGACTCTCAAGGTTCAGATGCTAGAGAAGGGCTGCATTCCCAGATGCACCCAATAAGCAGGCCAGCTTTAGTCCTGACCAGCCTGGTGTTCCAACTCCACATTCACCATCACACCCTGCATGACCCAACCACTGTCCAAGCCTCAGTCCCCTTGGGTGTAAAATGGGCGGGTCACACTGATTTTGGAAGACGTATAAAAAGACGAGAGAAGTCTGATAGAAGGCAGAGGGAAAGGGAGCCTCAGTTTGCCTTATCTATAAAATGATGGCAGATTTCGTGCTATGCGCGTGTGGAGTGCTCAGCTCTGGGCCTGAAGTACCTCCCTCCTTCATGAGGGCCTGCCATGTCACTGCAGGTGGAGACTGCGCCACCTTGTTGAAGAACATCGGGGCCCTGCCCGTGGAGATGGCCCGTATGTACTTTGCTGAGACGGTGCTAGCGCTGGAGTACTTGCACAACTATGGAATTGTGCACCGCGATCTCAAACCTGACAAGTGAGTCTTGACCTCCCGTCAGCTCCGTGCCCTGGGAAGCCCTGATGGGGAGGGCCAAGTGATGTGGATGGACTTGGCCTCTGAGGCCCCTACTTGTGCCTGCAGCCTTCTCATCACTTCCATGGGTCACATAAAGCTGACAGATTTTGGCCTTTCCAAGATGGGACTCATGAGCCTCACTACCAATCTGTATGAAGGCCACATTGAGAAGGACGCCCGGGAATTCCTGGATAAACAGGTGTGTACGCGGGCATGAGGGCATCCCGGGTGGAGTGACCCAGCAGGACCGTGGGGCCAAGGGCCTGGTGGGGGTGATACAGCACCCCCTCGAGGCCCCTCCTACGGCCAGGGCGCAGGCTGATGGCCTGCCCCCAGGTATGCGGGACCCCGGAGTACATCGCCCCCGAGGTCATCCTGCGCCAGGGTTACGGCAAGCCGGTGGACTGGTGGGCCATGGGCATCATCCTCTACGAATTCCTGGTGGGCTGTGTGCCCTTCTTTGGAGACACCCCCGAAGAGCTTTTTGGACAGGTCATCAGTGGTGCGTGTCTCTGTGGTGGGTGGGCACAGGGTACAGGCCTACCTAGGGCCCCATGGACTTCAAAAATGACCTCCAGCACCATCCTTTCCCTGCAGATGACATTCTATGGCCTGAGGGAGACGAGGCCCTGCCCACAGATGCCCAACTTCTGATATCCAGCCTCCTGCAGACCAACCCTCTGGTCCGACTTGGGGCAGGTAAAGGGCCTACTGAGCATAGGGGCTAAGGGCTGAGGACCTGGGGTCTTTGGTGGGAGTAGAGGTCCATGGCCCCAGACCCAGTCTGGGCTCCAAGTGCTGTGTGACCTGTTGTGAAGACAGGAATGGGGAACTTGAAAAGCTGCGTTCTTGCTTGGATCACTTCCCCGCTCTGCCTCTTGCCCAGGCGGAGCCTTTGAGGTGAAACAGCACAGTTTCTTTCGAGACCTGGACTGGACAGGTTTGCTGAGGCAGAAGGCTGAGTTTATACCTCACCTGGAGTCTGAGGATGACACCAGCTACTTTGACAGTGAGTGAGGACAAGAGGCAGGGCGTGGATACAGGGTGGGATCCAAGGAGAGAAGAGCGCATGGTAAGGTGGTGCCATGGTTAAAGCGCTTGGCTGCTAACTGAAAGATTGGTGAGTCAAAGCCATCAGCTATTCCATGGATGAGTGATGTGATGGTCTGCTGCAGTTAAGATTTACAGCCTTTGAAACTTATGGGGCAGTTCTGCTCTGTCCTTTAGGGTTGCTGTGAGTCAGAATCGTTTCTCCTGTAATGATGGGTTTGGTTTTGAGATATGAAACCAGACTCCTAAAAGAATGGACCTGAGGTTGAAATGGGGGCATGGCCTACTCTGGAGTGGGGCAAGCTGGGCATGACCAGCTCTGGGTGGAGGTAAGATGGACTGGACTCAGTTTGATCTAGATAAGAAATGAGGTTGGAGTAGGGTTGAGGCCTATACTGAGGTGAGTTCTAAGTTTGGACCTGGGCCTGGGCTAAGGGCAGAGACAGAGGCTGGCCTGAGGTGGCCAGGGTGAGGCGCACTGGTGGCGGGGATGAGGCAGAGGTGGGCTATGACTTGCTGGCCATGCTTGCAGTGGGGCAGGGCTCTGGCGGGGGTGTGATCTGAGGACCCTCCCCAGCCCGCTCAGACAGGTATCATCACGTGAACTCATATGACGAGGATGACACAACAGAGGAGGAGCCCGTGGAGATTCGCCAGTTCTCCTCCTGCTCTCCACGTTTCAGCAAGGTGGGTACAGGTGGGCCTTCTGGTAGCCTGAGCAAGGCTGGGGCATTGTGGGCAGGACCTGGACTGAAAAAGTGCTGGCAAAGGAGGTCGGCCTGGAGTGGGGGGCTGAGGAGACTGCCCGTAGGTGGTAGGCCCGAAGTCTTAGATTGGCCAAGTTTCTGAGGTGGGTAAGGGTCAGAGAGTGGTGAGGCCTGGTGGAGTCAGGGTAGGGCGAATATGAGACAGGCCTTTGATTCTGAGTGGTTACTAAAGGGAACCTGGACAGGTGTGGACATGAGGCCTATAGGGGGCAGAGCTAGTCAGGGTAGGTTGGGGTTGGGTCTTGGGGATCGAGAGGATGAATTTTAGGGACAGGACTTTGGGTTGGGTGTGACCTGGGCAAGGGTGTAGGAAGGCCAGTCAAGGTCATTGAGGTGTAAACTTTTCTGGGGGCAGGGCCTAATCTGGGTGGGATTGGTCCTCCAGCATGGACAGTTGTTATTAAGCTTGAACATGGTAGAGCCTAAAATGGAGCAGGGCCTAACAACGTTGTGAGGTGGGAGCTTAACTGAGGAAGAGTGAGCTGATTGAGGCAGTCCAGAATTGGGTGGGCTGGCCTTAAGAAGGGTCAGGTCGAGCGTGGTGAAGACGGACCCAGGAATGAAAAGCTAATTGGTTCAGAAATGAAAACTGGGACCTCTTCCGGCCCTCTCCCACACTCTGCAGGTGTACAGCAGTATGGAGCAGTTGTCGCAACATGAGCCCAAGACGCCGGTGACCACAGCAGGGGCCAATAAGCGGGATCCCAGCAGCAAGGGTCCGGAGGAAAAGGTGGCCGGCAAGCGGGAAGGACTGGGCGGCCTGACCCTGCGTGAGAAGACCTGGAGAGGGGGCTCCCCGGAGATGTGAGCAGGGGCGGGGTTGGTCCAGGGAAGGGCCCAAAGAGGTGGACCTTCCCTAACCAGGCCCAACCTCTCCCCACCACCAATTGCACAGCAAGCGCTTCTCAGCATCTGAGGCTAGTTTCCTGGAGGGGGAAGCCAGCCCCCCACTCGGGGCACGCCGCCGCTTTTCAGCCTTACTAGAGCCCAGCCGCTTCAGCTCCCCTCAAGAGGATGAGGATGAGGCAAGGCTCCGCAGGCCTCCCCGCCCCAGCTCAGATCCCCCAGGCTCGCTGGATACACGGGCCTCTAAGGAGGTAGCTCCAGGGGACTGCAACCCCAGCTCCGGTGACCCTGATGCCAGTGAGTACCATCTGGTGCTGTCTTCCCCAATTCTTCAGTGCCCATATATTGAGCGTTCCATGAGCATAGTATTGTATTTGTATGTGCAAAATCTCATTTAACCTTCACACTCAAACCTGAAACTCTCAACCCAGTGTGTCAGAGTCAGACAGTCACACATGTATTTGAGACTGATTTTTGTATGGGAGCTATGCTCAATGCATATGTTACCTGTGTTCGTGCAAAGGTGGAAGAAAATGGGAAGCATTTCAGGCAGAGGAAACAGCCTGGCCTGGCTCCTAGCACATGTGCTCTTTGTTGTAGCTGATCGTGCTCGCTCAGGAGACCTCTGTCCATCCCTGAAGGATGGAGACCCATCAGCTCCTAGGGCTACCAATGATCTGGTTCTGCGAAGGGCGAGGCACCAACTGTCAGGAGATCCTGCAGTAGAGAAGCGGCCTTCCCGAACTGGGGGCAAAGTCATCAAGTCAGCCTCAGCCACTGCCTTGTCTGTCATGATTCCTGCAGGTGATGTAGGGCCCCACCTGGAAGGGGAGGGGATGTTTCTGTTTGTTCTAGGACTGGCCAATAAAACAATTGTATCTACACACACATACAATCATTGGTTCAGGGATGGACTAATGAGAGTCTGCCCCGGGACACTATCTGACTTGGGAAGTCTATCTTTCTGATCCTATCCCCTGACCAAGGATGGTTTATATCTGCAGTGGACCCACATGGCAGCTCACCCCTGGCCAGTCCCATGTCCCCACGATCTCTGTCCTCTAACCCGTCTTCAAGGGATTCCTCACCCAGCCGCGACTACTCACCAGCTGTCAGTGGGCTCCGTTCCCCCATCACCATCCAACGCTCAGGCAAGAAGTATGGCTTCACACTGCGTGCCATTCGTGTCTACATGGGTGATTCAGATGTCTACAGTGTCCATCACATTGTCTGGGTGAGCTCTCATGGATGGGCTGTCTTTTGGGGGAGAGAGGCCCCCAGGGATAAAATGGGCAGAGAAGGAGCCCCACCCTAGAGGGTGGATGACTCCCACCCTAGAGCCAGGCAGCCTGGGTGCAAATATTCTGTGACCCCCTTGTCACATCCCTGAGCCTTAGCTGCAGCTGTAGATTAGAGGTAATTATTATTTATAGGGTGATCTGAGGATTACAGCGCATGTGGACCTAGGTGTTTGGCACATAAACTTTGGACGTTTTCTTTGTTACCAATCCGATTAATCCTGCGCTTGTGGGGTGCCCCATCTCCAGCATGTAGAAGAGGGGGGCCCAGCCCAGGAGGCGGGGCTCTGTGCTGGGGACCTCATCACCCATGTGAATGGGGAGCCTGTGCATGGGATGGTACATCCTGAGGTCGTGGAGCTGATCCTCAAGGTAAGTGCAGGGGAGGCCAGGCAATGGGAAGGAGGTAGGGGAGACCTGGATCTTCCTGAGGGGCCTAAACATTCCTTCTTCCCAACGCCCCTAGAGCGGCAACAAGGTAGCGGTGACCACAACACCTTTCGAGAATACCTCCATCCGCATCGGCCCGGCACGCCGTAGCAGCTACAAGGCCAAGATGGCTAGGCGGAACAAGCGGCCTTCTGCTAAGGAAGGCCAGGAGAGGTGGGCAGAGACAAGTGTGATAGGCAGGTTTATCAACCAAACACACCAGGTGTCTTGGATCAGTGGGCGTGGCTAAAGTGGGAAGTACCCAAGTGAGAACCCCCTCAGTAATGACCAGGGCCACTGAGTGAAGAGCAAAGACAGGAATGTGGGAAGACTCGGGAAGTTGCACCTGGATTCTAGACGGAGAAAAAGATTGTGGGAGTATCTTGGTAAGGTGGGCGGATACAGCGCTTGATTGGTGAACCCAGACTGGGAGGGGCCATGGCATATTAGCTGGGCTAAGCAAAGTGGCAGCATCAATGGGCTCAAGCGTGGCAACAATTGTGAGGTTGGCCCAGGATCGGCCAGTGTTTCGTTCTGTTGTGCATAGAGTCGCTATGAGTCGATACCGACTCCCTGGCAGCTAACAATAACAAGAGATGGTCTTGCCCTGTTAAATGTGTTTGGACTGGATTGAAAGCATACTTAGTTGGGATTTCTGTCTGGAATAAATGAGCCAAGCAGGACCGGGCCAATTGAAATAATTTCATTCCTTATAGGAATAACTAGGATAGGTGGGTGGCTCCAAGAGAGTGTTCAGTTTTGATAATTGGTCTGGGCCTGGGAAATGAGTGGGTGGGGATTCTAAGTGAGAGAAGTCAGACAGAACTGAATCGAGTGAATTTGTACCTGCCCTGATTATGTGAGTTGTAGCTGGTGATGGAGAGGCTAGGAGAGATTGTGGTTTTTTTTGTTGGGCGTTTCCCGTCGGGACAGGGAGTGACCAAAAGGAGATGTTGTTGTTGTCAGGTGCCATCGAGTTGGAACCGACTCATAGCGACCCCATGCACAGCAGAACCAAACAATGTCCGATCCTGGGCCAACCTCACTACCGCTGCCACACTTGAGTCCAAGAAAGAACCAATAGATGGGTGGTGCTAAAGTGGGAGGAGCCTGGGTGGGCTGAGCCAAGTGAAGTGCTTGTTCTGATAGGTGCGTAGTAACGAGAGGGAGGGACTAGGAGGAGTGGCGGTTCCAGGAGCTGTTGGGCGACCTTGAACTGGGAGGAACTGGGAGTTTTGCAGTCTGATCAAGGGTAAGTGGGTTTTCCCCTCCTTCTTCCCCAGCAAGAAGCGCAGCTCCCTCTTCCGGAAGATCACGAAGCAGTCAAATCTGCTGCACACTAGCCGCTCACTGTCATCTCTGAACCGCTCGCTGTCGTCCAGCGATAGCCTCCCGGGTTCACCCACGCACGGGCTGCCGGCGCGCTCGCCCACGCACAGCTACCGCTCCACACCTGACTCCGCCTACTTAGGTAGCTTTGGCCTGCGAGGGGACACCTGTGTGAGGGCTGGCGGGCGGCAGCACATGCCCAGCATCTGTGACACCCTTTCTTGCCCGTAGGCGCCTCATCACAGAGCAGTTCGCCTGCCTCAAGCACGCCCAACTCGCCGGCGTCGTCAGCGTCGCACCACATTCGGCCCAGCACGCTGCACGGCCTCTCTCCGAAGCTACACCGCCAGTACCGCTCTGCGCGCTGCAAGTCGGCTGGCAACATTCCGCTGTCACCCCTGGCGCACACACCTTCCCCGACGCAGGCGTCGCCACCACCACTGCCAGGCCACACGGTGGGCAGTTCGCATACGACACAGAGCTTCCCGGCCAAGCTGCACTCATCACCGCCTGTCGTGCGCCCACGCCCCAAGAGCGCAGAGCCGCCCCGCTCACCACTCCTCAAGCGCGTGCAGTCAGCCGAGAAGCTGGGAGCTTCGCTGGGCGCCGACAAGAAGGGTGCACTGCGGAAACACAGCCTCGAGGTGGGCCACCCGGATTTCCGCAAGGACTTCCACGGTGAGCTGGCGCTACATAGCCTCGCCGAATCAGACGGCGAGACGCCCCCAATTGAGGGGCCTGGAGCGTCCCGGCAGGTTGCAGTCCGCCGCCTGGGTCGCCAGGAGTCGCCCTTGAGTCTGGGTTCAGACCCACTGCAGCCCGAGGGAGCCCCCAGGCCGCTGGCCTCCAGCAAGGAGGAGTCCCCAGGTGGCCCTGAGGCTTGTACCCCACCCCGAGCGACCACCCCAGGAAGTCGGACCCTGGATCGCGATGCCAGCAGCACGCGGCATCAGAGCGTGCAGACCGAGGACGGCACGGGTGGGGTAGCCAGGGGTGTAGCCAAGGCCGCATTGAGTCCGGTTCAGGAACACGAGACTGGCCGGCGCAGTAGCTCTGGTGAGGCTGGCACACCCCCAGTGCCCATCGTTGTGGAGCCTGCCCGGCTGGGGGCTAAATCCGAGGCGACCCCATCTCCGAGCTCAGACTTCAAGGGGCTGCAACAACCTGTGCCCCTGACGACTCCAGTACCCGAGGCGTCCCGAGGCAGGGAGCGCTGGGTACTGGAGGTGGTAGAGGAGCGGACCACGCTGAGTGCACCTCGCTCCAAACCCGCCTCCACTAAACTCTCCCCAGAACCCCAGACTCCTGTTCTAACCCCATCAAAGAATGTGCCCAGCAACACAGGGTCCCCAGCCCCACCCGCTTCTCTACTGGTCCCGGGGACTAAGTCTGAGGTGGGGCTGCCCTCACGGTGCCCTGTTGAAACTGTGCCTCCTCCAGGCCTGACAAAAAAAGGGGCACCCTGCCCTGCACCTCCAGGTCCATAGCCCAGGAGGCCTCTTGCTCTGTGCTGTACAGCTACCTGTATACATATGTACACATATAAATAAAGTACCTCAGTGCTCTGTGAACTTTCGTGGACTTGCTCCTCCCTCCCTCCCCTGGCACATGTTCCATCCCCTGTGTTCCTGTGCTTATTGAGCATGGGACTCCAGCCTTGAGTGGAGACTTGGACCCTTCCTGTTGTCACCTCTAATGAGGGTTTGGGAACAAAGCAGTGGCGCCAAATTCACCAACTTCAAGTTAGAGTGCAAAGGAGACGTTTTATTGAAAGTGAACACCCACAGAGGTTTCCACGGCAACACAGGCTGTCTTGATGGAGTCCCATTGTGATCAGGATACACAGAGTTATACATTTTTACACTGGAAGACACTCAGGAGGCACGTGCTTTTCAAGGTGCTTTACATTACTCAAATTACAAGATCATCAGACGACGTAAGTGTTGACCTTACAATTAGATAAAACACAAGCCCCATTTGCGATGAACACGCAATAGTCTCTGATGTTGTAATGATGCTCCAGGCAGGATTGTCCAGGTGGCCACACCTATCCTTGAGGAACCCGGCAAACATGGCATGAGTTAGGTTAACTATAAACCCAGACAGTACATTCGGTACTGTTGGATGGTATTGTGGTTCTATTGTGGTTCCACTTCCAGCTTCACTTCCACAACAGCTGAGCTGCTGTGTACAACATTGAGTACCAGCGCCTGTCTGAAGAAAAAGGTTAACAGCGCTATCTCCACCAACTTTCTTTTGTTCTTCACCATCTGGATAGATACTGTGATTCCTATTTCGCAGATGAGAAATTTGAATCAGAGAGGTTATAATTTAGTTTCACACAATTCCTGAGCTTAAGCTCTTACATGCTCTGCTAGGTTTTCTGGCGAGAAGGCTCTGCTCTCCTTCCTATAGGGTTCTCCATAACCAAACCTGTTGCCATTATTGAGTGGATCCTGACTCAGTGATCTACAGGACAGAGTAGAACTCCCTCACAGACTTTCCAAGGCTGCGATCTTTATGGAAGCAGATTGCCACATCTGTGGAGTGAATCGGTTTGAATTGCCAGCCTTGTAGTGAGTAGTCAGGTGCTTAACTACTAAGACTCATTACAGGGTTTCCAGGCCTTCACCAATGGCTGGAAGGCCTTCCAGAGAGCAGGCAGTTGGGTACACAATGTGCCTCCACCTCGATGTTCTTCTTGTAAGTTCCGATTCATGTCACCCACGCAGGTCCAGGGTCCTTTTGGGGCCACACACCACTTGGAGTGGTCTACTGTAGAGTTGAAGGTTGGTTCAGCTGGCCCAGGGAAGGCTACCTGAGTCACATCCAGCACCTCATAAGTACTGGAGCAGTTGGAGGGCAGAATGCCAGGAGACTTGTACCAGAACTGGACATGCAGGTTGCTGCCAAGAGCTGTTGCTAGCCAACCAGAGTACAGGTCTGCAGAGGATGGAGAGAGAGGATTGACCGGGTCACTGCTACAGATTAGGGCTAGTCACTTCTACCCTCTTGAGCTCAATTTCCTCAGTTGTCAGTTCTTGGCAACCCAAATGGGACAGCAGTAATATTAATAGCCCTTCCTGAAAACTTTACAGGCATCACTTTTTGAAGCAACGCAACAATTTTTTAAAATATCGGTAGCCCCATTTTTTAGAAGAGTAAACTAGAGGCTTCAGTGAAATCACACTGCCAAGGATCAAGATTTTAACCTAGTTCTGTCAGTTCTCTTAAGTAATTATGACTCCCAAAGTGGGCCAGTCTCTATCCTTGGTCTGTCCTTAGCCACACATACCAGACACACCTTTTGTAGAGAAAGAGTTTCCTAACCCCCCAGCCTCAGGGCTCACCATCGCCAAAGTTTCCAAATTTGGTAAAGCTCTGGAAGGTTGCTCCTGCCTGTGATGTGAGTGCTACACTGTTGTTCCAGGGTCCTTGGCGAACATGGTGGCCTTTGATTACCTCCTCCAGGTCAGGGAATTTTTCAGCAAAGGTCCCTTGCAGTTTGTGGTCATACACCAGTGGGTAGGTGTAGGTCAGTTGTCTGCCTGAAGGTAGGGGAAAGGAAGGATGAAATGTGGGGGCTGCTCAGCCTCTGGCATGGGAATCTGGAAAGGGACTCACCCTGCCTTCTTGTCCCTACTCACCAATCTTCAGGAATTGATTGAGGGGAAAAGACACACAGAGCAGGGTCTGGCCATAGGTTTCAGCACTAGAAGGCCAGCTATATGCAGCAGAGGAAGCAGGTGGGGGGAAGTGGGGAACACTGTGGATCAACCAGAAGCCACCTTCTTGGTCCAGGAGCAGTACCCCTTAACAGGAGACAGGGGATCAGTGGGGTTGCTCAAGACACACATCATGGACCCTAAATGCACTCAGTTTACAAAAGGCCTGGAAAGAGTGTAGGCAGTGTTAGGACCGCTGCTTAGCTCAATTTTCCCAGGTGTCAATTCTCATCAATGTTAAGGAAGAGACCTCTTAAGGCTGATAAGAGCAAGCCCCCACGAAAGTCAGAAGTCAGCTGACAGGAAATTCACGGGGAAATCATGTGGTCCTCCCCAGTCCCCAACCTAGGCCTCACCCTTTGTATGCCCACGACTGGAAGAGAACTGAATCCCTCTGGAGGTAGGTGGCTGGTCATTGTAGAGCAGGAAGGCAAGCTGGGAGAAAGGACGTGGGCAACGTGAAAATTCTACCCATGCGGGGCCCACCCTAGAGTGTCTCCTTAGATTCGACCCCGCGTCCCTTCACCTGACTAGCATTGTTCCGGTATAGTGGTAGCAGGCTACGGCCCACCGCCCCTGCCGAGCTGTTGATGGACCCCGCGCCTTCACGCCAGCCTCCGGAGTTTGCGTCCAAGTACTTGTATCTCAGCCCGCTCCCGGCCGCATCCCCAGGCCTGCTATGGGCCGGCAACTTGTAGACGACGAACCTGCAGGTTGGGAAGCGGACAGAAGTGGGGGAGAGGGAAGACAGGGAACCCTAGACACTCACCCTGCAGCGCAGGAATCCCAGAGGTCCTTGGCGGCGCTGCGCAGCTGTAGGAGAGAAGTGCCACACTTGCCCCTCACCAGTCCACAGGTTGCCCCGAGTCTCCGTAGCAGGTCAGGGCCCCCGCAGGGATCCCCAGCAGCACAGCCAGGAGCAGCGAGCGCAGCGCTGCCATGGAGAAATCTGCCTTTTGGCCGCAGGGTACCGGGTCACGCGCTGGGTCTGGCACAGCTTGCCCGGGTGCAGCTTTCACTTCCCAAATTTGCCTGAGAACCCCAGCGGAGACGGTAGAGGGTGAAGACTCCGCCTTGGAGACCGGATGCAGCTGTTTAGAACAACCGCCCAGGTTTCCCAGGGGCGGATCTTAATTTCAAGTAGGCCCCGCCCTCGACTCGGCTGTCCTGAGGCCGCCACCTGTTGCCTGCCAATCTAGGTCCAGATAGGCTCCACCCTCTCTGTAGGTCACTCTCTCGCTTTCGTTAGGCAGCGGGTGCCCGGCCTCCGTCTACACTTCTAGCCAATCAGAGTCCAACCCCTCCCCTCAGTCCCGCCTCCCATTCAGAATTCCCGGAGTACAACCGTTTTTTATTTTCGTGCTCTTTTGTGCTCCCTGTTTCGGGGCTTCCAGGCACAAGTTTGGGATTTTTCCTTGCATGCCTGATGTCACGGGACCCAACCCTTAAAGCGTGTTTGCGCTCCTGATTCACCTCTTTTCATTTTGCAAGTTTTTCCTAGATCTCCCTGGTCACTGAATTATAACTGAGTGAAGGTTACTGGGGCTTTGACGCTCTTAAAATACCGAGACTATCCCTGTGCACGTGTAATGCAAGGAGAAAAGGGCTATGTAGCCTGATGGTGGTGGAGAGGAGCAGCAAGGCCTAGAGTGAAGAGTGTCGCTGAAACTTAGGAGCTGGGGTTGTGTTGCTGTTAATGCAGTTGAGTCGGTTCCGACTCATAGAGACCCTTTATAGGATTTCTGAGGAGCAGCTGGTGGGTTTGAACTGCTGACCTTGTGGTTAGCAATCCAGTGCTAATCCTACAGCGCCACACCAGGGCTCCTGGGGGTAGTGTTGTTAAATGCTGTTGAGTGGATTCCTTCGACTCACAGCGACCCTGTATAGGGTTTCCGAGGAGCGGTTGGTGAGCTTGAACCGCCGACCTTGCGGTTGCAACGATTGATTTTGTAGTCCAGCTCATTAATCCACAGCACCACACCAGGCCTCCAATATCACCTCTGGGGATAACAGCCCTCTTCCAGTACTCAAAACCCACAAAGTCAGGCCAACTCTGAAGCTTTATGGGGAGGGCATTTTTACAGCACCCATAACCATTCACAGCTGATACCAGGCTGAGGTGTGAGGCTATGGCCAGGGGGCACCGCCACCATGGGGAGGGAGCTTCAGCAAGGGTCTCTGAGGCTCCCTAATGTGCCCCGTTTCGCTATTCAGGACAGTCTGTGATCTGGTCTGAGGGTCTAGTTGAGTGTTCATCTTAATCCGTTTATCTGGGGGTCTGCATGACCTTTGGACGTCTCTGTGGCTCCATGTGACTGAAGACATATGTGGGGCTTCCTCTGATGGTTCCTAGTCTAAATGTATGGGTCGATCCATGATCTTTTGGTGGATCTGTGCGGCAGGCGCAAGTCCAGGCGCGGGTCTGTCCGTAGAATTGCCCCGCGTGGATTCACTCGTTCTTGCTCCACGCCCCCAGTCCCCAGTCCCCAGGTGCCGGTACGGAGCTCAAAGGTGGCGCTTCATGTGCAGGGCTAGGTGGTCGGAGCGTGAAAATGCTCGCGGGCAGAGCTGGCAGCGGAAGGGCCGCTGCCCGGTATGTTTGCGATAGTGGCGGGTCAGCTCGTCGGAGCGCGCGAACCTCCATCCGCAGCCGTCCCAAGTGCAGGCGTATGGTTTCTCTCCTAGGGGCAAAGGAGCCGTAAACACCACTGTCCAATCGCCACCTGCCCACCCTTCCCCCTTTGCCTGCCCCTGCACCCATTTATTCTGCTTCGGCTGGAGCCAGCAGCCAGGTTGTCTGAGGCGTCTTGGACGCAAAACATAAGAAGGTGCTCACTCTCAGGTGCCGACCCTGCATTTGTACCCAGGTCCGTCCTCTGCGACCCTTATTTTCCTCTGTACTTGTACCTGGCTGTATACCTTTCCTCATTTCCTGTACTTTTTTTACACCGTCCTTACGCCCTACTATCCCTACTATCACCTACCTCTTGGATTTGCCTCTTTCCCCTGCATTTCAACTTCTTTGCGCCACAGGTACCTCCAGCAGTTGCCCAACCCTGTCACTGATCTTGACCCCTAAACCTCGAAATCCACTGTTGTTGTGAGCTCTGTCTGAGGTGATCCCAGCCCACGCACCTCAGGACTAGTGAATACATCTATTCCTTTCTGCTCCTATTCCAAGGCTCCGCCTCTGTCATAGTCTTACTGGTACCCGACAAGAATACTCTCCTCCGTTTCCAGCGTTTCCTCTTGTTCTCCTGGCTTGCCTCTGCATCTGGGTCCCATCCTCAATGACCCTCCCCTGCATCTGCCTGCTCCCGGGTCTAACGTCCGGAGTTCCAGCCACACTCACTACACGTCTGGCTCCGCCTCTATGCTAAGCAATTCGTGCAGACCAAAGCCCCGAGCTCCTAACCCCAGTTGGTTCAACTTTGAACCCTGTTTCTTTGGCCTCACATGGCATTCAGGTTTGTCCCCTCCCGCAGTCCCTCCTCTAGTCCCGTCCCCTACTCCACTTGTCCATCTTTCAGATCCTCTGCCCGCCCTCGCACCGAGGTCTGACTCCTCAGGCCTCATTTCTGAAATGCGTCTCCAACTTCTCAGGCCCTCCATTTGCCCCGAACCCCCTTCCGAACCGCTCTGGTCCTGCCCTTGCCACTACTCCTGAGAGTCCAGTTCCGTTCACTTGATCTCTGCCTGACCCCTCGTTCCAGAACTCTGTCTTTAGCCCCGCCTCTGTCGTTACAGGCCCCCGCCCTCTTTGCAAAGGCTTTGCCTAGACCCGATCTTGTTGCCCTGGTTTCGTTTTCTGCTAACCAGGCCTTGCCTTTAGCTCCGCCCATCAAACAAGGCCCAGTCCCTCACCCGTGTGCGTGCGCAGATGCGCCTTCAGATGGGAGCTCTTGGTGTAGCTCTTGCCGCAGCCTGGGTGCGCGCACGTGTGCGCCGCTTGTCTCTTGCGCGCCCACGAGCGCCGGCTGCGCTTGCTTGGTGTGGATTCCCTGATCCCTCCTGGGTCGCCTGCAGTGCCCCCTAGCCCGGCACCCGCTGTCCCCGGTCCCAGACAACTCAGGAAGGCAGGGGGCGCGGTGGGGCCAGGAGCGGGCGCTGAAAGCCCGCGGTAGAGCTGGAAATGACCTTGGTACTGCGGCACTGGGTACAGAGCTGGGTACCCGGATAGCAACCCGTAGGGGGCACCTGACGCCGCGGGCACTGAAAACCCTGTCCGCGGGAAGTAGCTAGCTGAGGACGCCGCGCCTGTCCCGGGGTACACTGGCTGCAATGGCAGCGCCTTGGGCTCGGAAGTCGGGACCAGAGCCGAGCTCGCAAAGGCGTCGGGGGCCGGAGCTCGGAAGGCTGGGCGCACCCAGCTGGGGTGCTCCTCTGGACTCAAGAGCCCGGTCACAAGCCCAGGGTTGCTGGTGTATGCGCCCAGAGTTTCAGGCAGTGAAGGGTATTGCCCCCCGGAGCCCTCGCTGGGCGCCAGAGCCCCGTTCTGAGCCTCGCCGCCTGGCTCCGAACCAGGGAAGTTGTTGAGGAGGAGATCCAGGTCCCAGGGGACAGCTTCTTCCCTCTCATCGTCCCTGTCCTCCTCCGGTACTTCTTCCGACTCCGGCTTTACGCTGAGGGGCAACCCCGTGGGACCAGGGGGTCCCGGGCCCAGGTCCTGCTCCTCCTCAGAGCGCCACCATTGCGGAAGGGAGCCGTCAACTTCAGGTTTCAGCTGATACCCGGGTACCCTGTCCAATGAGGGCTTAGGCCAGATGCCCTGATGGGGACAGAATGTTTTCGGACTCTGAAAAGGGGTCTGTTTGCCTGTTAGTTTATCCACACACCCCCATACCTGCCCCCACCCCCAGCTCCAGGGACAGAGGTTGCTCCGGTCTGACTGGAGACAGGAGATAAGACCTCCCTTATCTAGAACCACACTCAAACATGGGGGAAGGGGTGACAGCCAGAGAGGGAAGACTGGGGCCCAGCCTTACCTCAGTTTCCCCCCACAGCCTCCCTTTCCTTCCCCATCTGCCACCAAGGTGAATTCCCAAACCCTGGCCCTTCCCTGGGAGCCCTAGTAGCAATGGCTAAAGCACTCAGGGGCTAACCAAAAGGTTAAGGTTAGGAGCTACCGGCTGCGCAGGGCAGGAGCTGCTATAAAGATCTCAGCCCTGGAAACCCACAGGGCAGTTCTGCTCTGTCCTACAGGGTGAGTCCAATCTACTTGATTGTAGTAGAGGAGTTCTGAGCATCCTGTTATCTGGGGTGGTCACTGAGAGCGTCAGACCCACATAATGTTCCCCTCAGAGCTTCAGTTTCTCTTTACAGAAATAAGTCCCAGGACCTCTGACTCACCCTCCCCCAGACCAAGCCACCCCCACACTATTCCTCAGTCCTGGTCTTTGGATTCCAGGTCCTCATGCTATATGGCCATGCCCTAGAGCCCAGCCAGCTCACCAACGCCCAGCCCTGTCTAGTCCCACCTTTAGGAAGTCCTCGTGTGTGTCCAGGAAGGGGCCCAGGGTGGTCAGCATGTTGATGGAGGGCAAGGCCGTCTCAGCTACGGCCATGGTGGCTCCTAGGTCTCCGTGCCCACCCAGGGTCCTTAGGCCTCCTCTCCCTCAGCTGCCTCGTGGGCTCTGAGGCTCTTTTGGCCCCTCGGAGAGTGCCTCTCACCACTCAGCTGATTGGCTGCAAGTCCTTGATAAGGGCAGGCAAAGCCAGGGGGGGCGGTTACCATGTCTGGGGAACAGACCTCACCTCAGCCTTTTTGAGGCTGGGTCTTAAAGATTTCCCTGCATCCAAAGTCAGGTCAGGAGTTGGGGGTCCAGGGTTTGGGGTTCAGCTACTGGGTAAAGTGAAGCACTGAATCCCCAAAGAAGGATAGGCTTGGGAACCTGCCCTCAGCTTTTACCTCCCTGGAATATGTGTGTTTGATAAGTAGAATGGGTCTTCTGGGAAGGATCTGTAGGACCCTCCTCTTCCAAGTATAGCCCTGAAGCCCTCTCCCTCCTCAATAAGTAATAGCAACTGTGCTGATGGCGGGACTTGGCACAAACTCGCTGTTAAGCATTATCAGGCACCCCAGATGTGACAGGCTGCTATCAGGTGGGGGCCAAGAACAGCCAAAGCTCTGTTCCCGGTAAGCGGGAGGGCTTGGGATTGGTTGAAACTTCATATTAGTAAGCTCCCAGGGTCTGATCCTGTGGAAGGAGGGAGGCCCTGACAATCATCCCCTTATTGTCAACCTTAGACCTTCAGTTGGTGCTATGGGAACTCAGCTTTGGGAGGTTATTGTTGTTAGGTGACACTGAGTTGGCACTGACTCTTAGCCACCCTATGCACAACAGAACAAAATGCCACCCAGGCCTGGGCCAACCTCATAATCGCTACACCTGAGCCCATTGCTGCCGCCACTGTGCCAATCCATCTTCTTGGGGAATGGTGCAATTACGTGTACTCCAGTGTGGGTGTGTGTAGAGAGGGGAAACTTGCTCTCACTCCAAGGTGAGATGAACCCATGTGTGGGGTCACAGGAAGTGCCTAACCTTCAGCACACCTGCCCCCATCCCTGGCCCAAATCTGACAGCTGCTTGATTTCCACCTCACGTTGGAGAAAGATCTGAGGTTCTGCACCAGGGACCTCCACTATGGAACCCTGGGAGCCTTGGAGGGGGACATGAACACACATCACACAGACATATACATATCCTTCGTTGTCACACACAGCCATACAGTAACATAGTGACACAAGTCCCTGGTGCCTCAGTCACAGAGCACAGTCTCTGGCTTATTCATGAACAGAAACGCAATGCTCAGAAACAAAAGCACAATCATATACTACATTTGTTACAGTGTTACAGCCACAAAAAGCATTGACAAAAACCATACAGTTACACAACCCTAATAACACAACAGACATACAGGGATTCCTGGCTATGACCAAACACAAGCATAAAATATCATTCACAAACACACAATGATGTAGCAATATACAGCTCTACGTTATAAACTGGAGTTTGGTGTGGCACTTTAGTATGAACACTGGACTGCTAACCGCAAGGTTGGCAAGGTGGATTTGAACCCACCAGCTGCTTCTTGAAGCCCTATGTAGTTACTATGAGTTGGAACTGACTTCATGGCCCATAGCAACATCAGCAACTTAGGAACCTTAGAAACTCAAACACAGATAAAACCACCCATATAGTACCACACGACCTGTGTTGTTGTGGAACTGTACAGGGTTTCTGAGGCTGTAAGTCTTTACGGGAGCAGAAAGCCAGAGCTCCTTATAGCTTTACATATAGTCACACCATCTGTCACTATTACCAAGTGTAATTATTCACAGTTGCAGAAATTCCATTGCCCAACCATAGGGGGCGCACCCAAACACAGACAACCACTTGGACAGGGACTCAGACACCCTAAAGGTTGAAGGCACTCAAATTCACCCAGACATATAGGCACCCTGCCACAGAAACACGATTACACCGAGTTGGTACACCACAAACACATCTCGCAAAAAGACCATGTGCTACAAAACCAGGAGAGCAGCAATACAAACACACTCAAAGGGATGGCTATCATTTAAAAGATGGAAAATAGCAAGTGTTGGCGAGACTGTGGAGGAGAAATTAGAATCCTCATCCACTGCTGGTGGGGATGTAAAGTGGTGCAACTGCTGTGGAAAACGGTTCAGTGGTTCCTTAAAAATTTAAACATAGAATTACCATAGGACCCAGTGTGGTACCTTGAATTTACTTGATAATGACTATTCTATCCAATATCTTATTAATTTCCATCAAGTGATTGGGTGGGACCATGCAAATAAGGTATACAGGAGTCTAAGGCTGGGATTGGTTAGTTTTGCCATCCAGCTTGGTTTGAACGGAGCATCTCAGCAGCAGCAAAGGAAGATCCGGGGACCATCAAGAAGGAAGAGCGTGAATGGAGTATGAGATCCATACTTAGACAAGCTGCAACAGCAGAGGTGATGGCAGAGACAGGCAGGGCACATGGAGAGACAGAGCAGCTGCACTATCTAGACCCATGGACTGAGGAAAGTTGAGTGCCGGAAACTGGCTTGAAGATTGTGCCCTTTGGAAATTCACGGACTTTGTAACACTCACCCAACACTTGGGCAGAGACCAAGTGACCACATGGTTGAGAGGTCAAAGACAAGAGTGAGAGGCATGCCTGCAGCATGGCAGATGAGGCTTTCTTGGCCGGAGAACTACTGCGTCCTGAGTTAGTTTTGATCCTGAATTGTACATTGTTCACTTCCCTAATAAACCCCATAATCTTGAGTAACCTTATGAGTTCTGCCATTGCAATGGATTATGGAACCCAGATGTGAAGCAGAGAGTGTGGTGAGAGGGAGGGTTGGTGGCAAAATCGGGGAAAGAAGGTCCAAGAGTGGAAGCACATCTGACTTCTACTTTATAGGAATTGGTTTGTGGTTGATTTTGAATTTGATTCTCTTTCCTCCTTGTGAAGACAGAGGAAGTCAGACATGGTCCCCACATGGTTTTTGCACCCAGAAATTCCACTCTTAGGTATATGCCCCAAAGGCTTAAAAGCAAGGACTGAAAACAGATACTTCTACATCAGTGTTCTTTGCAGCATTGTTGACAATAGTCCAAAGGTGGAAATAACCCAAGTGTCCATCAACAGATGAATGGATAAACATAATGTGATATATTCATATAATGAAATATTATTCAGCCCAAAAAGAAGTGAAATTCTCATGCAAGTTACAATGTGTGAACCTTGAAAACATTATGTTCAGTGAAAGAAACTAGTCACACAAAAGCATTGTACGATTCCACGCATCAACAAAAGGCTGGCAGCATGCGGCCAGAAGGACATGGATGCCCAAGGGTTGCAAGGCCTGAGCCTCAATTTGGGTTCTCCTAAATAAAAAATCAGGTTTCCCCTCAAAAGCTCCTGAGTCTCAGGGAATCTCAACACTGACACTAATTCCAGGGCAGGGGACTTTAGGAAAAAGAGAAGGAGGAAGGAAAAAGGTGAGGAGGGGAGAGGCGACCAAAAGACTGTCAGGGTGGTAATGGGCTTCTTGATATGTGTGTGTCTGAGAAGGTGGGAGAATTCAAGAGCAGTCAGGCCCCAGGCACTTGGGGTCAGTGAGCACACCGAGACACAGTCCTACAATTACTCCCCTCACACTCAGCTGAAGACAATGTCTGAGGCATAGCACTGTATACACACAACTAGAGAGTGTGAGTGTGGGCAGAGTTGTTCTCGAGCAGGCAGAGGCTTGGTTCCCAGTCCTAGTCCTTGTTCTGTGTTTGTTCCACTGTGACCTTTAGCAACACTCTTCTGCTGTCTGGGCCTAAGGTTCCCCTAGTTGGAAAATGAGTGGGTCATGGCAGATGTGTAATTGTCAAATACAAGCAATTATACACCCAGATTCAAATATATGGTATATAAATAGATGCTCATAAACAGGACTGTAACTGCATATGGTGTCATGATCAAATTGACACATAATTACATACATATGTACATAAACACACAACAACACTAGAAACACATACATACATATATATTTAGTCATACTATCACAAGATGGACTCCTGGTGTAGTGCTGTAGGATCAGTACTGGACTGTGAACCACTAGATCGGCAGTTCAAACCCACCAACTGCTCTTTGGAAACCATATACAGTGTTGCTGTGAGTCAGAGCCACCTTGACAGCACTTAACAACAATATCACAAAGTCTACCTACACATAGCCCTGGTTCCTGGTGCTGTAGAATGAGTACTGGACTGCTAACCACAAGGTCAGTGGTTCAAACCCCATCAGTCACTCCTTGGAAACCCTGTACAGCGTCGCTATGAGTCAAAACCAACTCGACAGTATTTAGCAACAACACAAAAGCCCAATGGGACAGGTACATGCATAGTACCACACACACAATCACATAGAATACCAGCACACAAGCAAATCACAGACATACAGCCATAATTACAGTAACCAAGTCACAGGCATACAGCCACCCAAAGTCAAAAGATGTATAAACACACAACCTCAATACAACACTCTTGCAACCACGCAGACACAATCATACACAGAAATAATGACAGACATACCCATAAGGACTCACAACTATTAGCAGCATCACTCAAGCACACAATTACTATCACAATTACAGACATGCAATCAAAGATGCACACTCATGCTCATATAACATACAATCCCCCAAACTAACATACAACCATGAAGACAGAATCACACAGCATTCCAGAGAAACATAATCCTACACAGATACATAAGAACTCAGGCAAAATCCGACCTACAGTCACAGAGATCCACACTCAAAGCCCCACAGCGTCACAGGCAGACAATACAGTAGATCTCACCCACACACAGGTGTGTCTGATTCACTCAGGCACAATTACACACAGACACAAAATCACACGCAATCACAGTCACACGAGGCTGCATTTGCTTCCCGGGACAGACTGTCAGGGTAGGGGCTAAGCTGCGATCGCCTATTGTTCCCCACCCCTTTGTTGTTGTTGTTATGTGCCGTGGAGTCGGTTCCAATTCTAGCGACCCTGTACAGGGTTTCCGAGGCTGTAAATCTTTACTGGAGCAGAACGCCTCATCTTTCTCCTGCGGAACAGCTGGTAGTTTCGAACTGCTGACCTGGAGGTTCGCAGCCCGATTCGTAACCACTACGCTACTACCCCTAGCAATCATAAAAGAGACCCTAGGGTCTGGCGTCCAAGATTCCCAGACTCCTTTTCTAGTGCCTCAGTTTCCTCGCTTAACTCTCAGAACCTTGTGCCCACGCCCCCTGCAACTGGCCAACCAGAAATCAGCCAAGCCCCTCTCCAAGGGCCAATCAGAGTAGGAATTTAGCCAGTCAATCGGGTTGGCGTACTGGTCTTCCGCCCTGTTCCGGCTTTACTTCTTAAAGGGCCAACTAACGTCTGTCTGGGCGCTCCCACCTGTACGGGCCAGGCTGTCAAGGCCCTTTTAAAAAGCAGAGCCATGAAGCCCCTGTATCCTAAGAGAAGCCAATGAGAAGCTTCTTTTGCACTCCGCCCCTCCCATCCCTGCCTGAGGTCAAAAGGTTTTGTTGCTCTGTGGCCTCAGCTGAAAGCTTAGGGACGCCAGGTAGACAGCAGTCGCTCGATCCCAAGGCGGGCCGGGGGAGGAGGGTGGGACAGGGAACTACTCCACTTTGACGACCTCTGCCCCTCCAGGCCTGTTTTTGTTGTTCCGATCGCCCGCCAACTGTCCAGATGGCCCTGAGAGGCGCCTCCGCGCTACTCCTGAACCGCGGTACCAGCTTCCGAGTCCTGCGCACGTGGAGCTCGGCTGCGGCGCAGACCGGTCAGTGAGGCCCGAGAGTAACGTAGAGGGAGAGAGGAACTGGGGACTCGAGACTTTCCCGGGGTGACTTTCCCTTCCTGTGTTTGCAGAGAAGGACCGGAAGACACAGAACCGATCGGCCAAGTGTAAGAAACCTCTTGTCGCGTTTGGCGTCTGAGACCCTGCCCATTTGTTTCTCTGCTTCCGGGTGGGCTCTGTCCTAGAATTCTCCGGCTGCACGCGCGCGGGAAGGCAGGGGGCTGTGCCGAGTCAGAGGCACTGAGGTAGTGTTCCCTGCCCTTACGGGTCTGGCCAAGGCTGAGTCCTTGTCCCCTCCTTCTAGCCTCCCGGCCGGAGTTTGACTGGCGGGATCCACTGGTTCTGGAGGATCAACTGACAGCAGATGAGATCCTCATCCGGGACACCTTCCGCACCTACTGCCAGGAGCGTCTCATGCCCCGCATCCTGCTGGCCAATCGCAACGAAGGTGCCTGGATGGACAGGCGGGTGTGCACCCAGAGGCCCCCCTTCTGAGGCAGCACCCCTCTCCCTATGCACACTAGATCTGCTTGCTTTAGTTGGGCTTCTGAGCCCCTCTGCCCTGGGACTGGGGACTGCAGTGGGCTAGAGCTGTGCTGGGACTCAGGCATCTGTTCTTTGACAGTTTTTCATCGGGAGATCATCTCGGAGATGGGAGAACTGGGCGTTCTGGGCCCCACTATCAAAGGTAAAGACATCTTTTGTCCATACTATGCAGACTCCTTCTCCCCACCCTCCCCCACCCCTACATGCCCTTTGTTCTCTTAGTGTCTCAGTCTGCAAAACCAGGTTGTTATCAGTCCCCAGAAAGCACTTATGGGAATGAAATGAATGAACCCTCAAGTAGGGCCAACTTGGTGCCCCTGTGTCTTCTTAAGTGCCGTCTAATCAATTCCAACTCATAGTGACCCTGTACAGGGTTTCCTGGGAGCATCTGGTAGGTCTGAACCGCCAACCTTGTGGTTCAAAGTCCAGTGCTTATCCTACAGTGCCAAACCAGGTGCCCCTATCTAGCTTTGTCTCTTGGGCTCCGCCAGGAATCACTGCTTTGCCCCTGTTGCCCTCTAGGGTATGGCTGTGCGGGGACCTCTTCTGTCGCCTACGGGCTGCTGGCCCGAGAGCTGGAGCGGGTAGACAGCGGTTACAGGTCAGCGATGAGTGTTCAGTCTTCACTGGTCATGCACCCTATCTACGCCTATGGCAGTGAGGAGCAACGGTTGAAGTACTTGCCCCGGCTGGGTGAGCAGCTGCCCCTGGGGCCTAGTGTAAGGTAGACAGTCCTCAGGGTGTGGAACTCAGGTGAGGCTGTTCCCTGAGCCTGCCCTGTGCCCGCATCTCAAGGATAGCCCCTATAACCCCAGTTAGAACCTGGGCCTCATCCATACTTCCAGTCCTCACCAGCCTTGCCCTCCGAGATATTTATTGAAGCTGCCCATTTTTTCTTGCCACCATCAACCTCTTTATTTGCTTCCAGGCTTAAAACTTTCTGTAATCTCAGTTCAAAGTTTAAGGTCAACTTCCTAACTGGGTCCACAAGGCCCCAACTGGCATGACCTCTGCTGACCTTTCCACTTCATCTCTGGTCACTTCTTCATTTACTTGAAGTCTCAAAATGTACCCCTGGACCTTTGCACCCTGTTCCCTCTGCTGTGAACACATCCACACACCGTATCTCTGCTTAATGCCTCTTCACTGCCCTCAGATTACAGTGTAGCCATCTCCTTCCTGACTCCCCTGGGGGTCCTACCCGGTCAAGGCATGTGACTATGGCCTGTTGGGGCCTGTATATCCCACCACTACTGGGGCTGCTACAAGGACAAGCATGGCCCAATCTTGCTGTGGTCCCAAGGCCTAGCTTAAAGACGCTGACAAATTTTCGTTGGGGATGAATGCGGGCAATTCCTTACTTACCAGAGCCTTTGACCTGCCTTGTTTCGGCAGCCAAAGGGGAGCTCCTAGGCTGCTTTGGGCTTACAGAGCCCAACCATGGGAGTGATCCTGGCAGCATGGAGACAAAAGCCCATTACAGCCCGTCCAGCAAGAGCTACACTCTGAATGGGACCAAGACCTGGTAAGAGGCTGGGCAGGTGGAGGTGGGTGGGTGTTTATGAGTGGTGGCCAGACCTCTCACTGCCTTGTCCCTCTCCTAGGATCACTAACTCACCTGTGGCCGACCTCTTTGTGGTATGGGCTCGGTGTGAAGATAGCTGTATTCGGGGCTTCCTGCTGGAGAGAGGGATGCGGGGCCTCTCGGCTCCCAAGATTGAGGGCAAGTTCTCTCTGCGGGCCTCAGCCACCGGCATGATCATCATGGATGACGTGGAGGTGCCAGAGGAGAATGTGCTGCCTAATGCATCCGGTTTGACGGTAAGCAGGAACTGGAGTTGGGTTGCCTGCAGGTCTACCTTGCTTGGGAGAGGTCTGTGCTTGTGGAGCCCACACAGTAGTGGTTGTTGACACTTGGCCTGGTCACTGATATGCTGAAAAAACAGCCCTATTTTGATGGCCATCTTGCTCAGACAGGCTCTGCCCAGGACACCAATGGCCTGAACCAGCTCAGTCCTTTGATGAAATGTATGCAGATCAAGAGTGAGCAGGCACTGACAGGGCCTTGGTTTTTTACCAAGCTCATGCTTGGGTGTCTACAGCCGTGTGTAGTCCCTAATGACTGCCCCAGGTCCTCTTGTTTATGCTGACTTCATGTTACTCAGATGGTTCTGAGCTGAGACCCCCTTTGCAACCCTCCAGGGTCCTTTTGGCTGTCTAAACAATGCCAGGTATGGCATCACATGGGGCGTGCTTGGAGCTGCTGAGTTCTGTTTGCACACGGCCCGGCAGTACACCTTGGACAGGTGTGTGGGGGCTACCAGGGGTCTGCTAGGGGTATGGGGTGCTTGGGTGTTAGTCCTTACCCCACCAGTGATTTTTCAGCCCTGCCCACCAACTTCAGTTACTTCATCTGTGAACTAACCAATAAAATCCTTGTCAGCAGTTAAGGCCTGAGTAAGCAATAGTGTCGGGTTGAGGCAGCCTGAGAGGGCTTTGTGAAAAGTAGTGCTCTGGGAGGAAACTGGGGTGTGGGCCTCCTTATCTCTCTAACCCTTACATTGCTCGTCTAGGATCCAGTTTGGTGTCCCATTAGCCAGGAACCAGCTGATCCAGAAAAAGCTGGCGGATATGCTTACCGAAATCACGCTTGGTCTTCACACCTGCCTACAGCTCGGCCGCTTGAAGGATCGAGACAAGTAGGGGCTGGCTATGAGTGGGCAGAGGGGAGACAGCTGTGGCTGGAGGATCTTGGGCCCCTTCTGGACATGAGGGTGGCTGACTTTGGGGAGAGTAGTGGCCCTTGACACCCACTCCTTGGCCTTGATAAGCCAGGCTAAGGATGGCCCTGCTGGCCACTCTGTGTGGGAGCTCAGTGCCTGGTGCAGTGATTGTGTTGTGGAATCCTCCCTAGTTGGGTTTGCTTAGGGCACAGGGATTACTGTCTGCCAGCAGCTCGGTCAGTTCTCATAATACAGTGTTGCTGCCCATATGTGCCACAACCAGGGCCACCCCGGAAATGGTCTCTCTGCTGAAGAGGAATAACTGTGGGAAGGCCCTAGACATTGCCCGCCAGGCCCGAGACATGCTGGGGGGAAATGGGATTTCGGACGAGTACCACGTGATCCGACACACCATGAACCTGGAGGCGGTGAACACCTACGAAGGTAAGACCAGATCCCTAGGGATGGTGGGTCACAGTAGCCTCATGTCAGAGGAAACTGGGTGATAACGAGGAGTAGGGGACAGCAGGCTTAGTCCTATCCCCATTTGTCACCAACTGGCAGTGTGACCTTGAGCAAGTCACACTCCATCTGGAGTGGCCCTCATCAGGGACAGCAGGAGTAAAGTGCTTGCAGAGCCTGTGGAGGTCTAGATGAGGTCTTCCCTGGTGTTTAGAGCCCAGTCCTTTTTCCCACAATGCTTGTGATGAGGATGTTTCTGACTTCTAGGGCAGTTCCACCAGCAAGCCAAGTGCCAGGGAGTCACTGAAGCCACACCCATTCCATAATATTGCAAACTTGGTATTCATACCTCACCAGGGCTCAGAGCCCCTTACACCTCATGGGAAGTGACAACTAAAAAGAGAATTCAGAGAAAAAGTTACAACACAATGTGAGCCAGGCAGAAATAGAAGGAGACCTAAGAGGAGACGGCAGCAGAACCTCTTAAGCTACATTAGGCCCAGAGGGAAGAACTCCCTGAAGAGAGAGGGCAACAGAGCCTAGGCTGTGTGTGAGGTTTCCACTTTCCTGAGGAATCTGAATTGAACCCAGGGTGGGGTCCCACAGCCCAGAATTTTGTCTCTATTGGGCAGCTGGATGGGACATTTCAGAAACAGCAAGAGGGAGAAGTAGAGTAAGGATCATAAAGGTGTAGGAATGCCTGAAGACTGCCAATTAGCAAACCCCTCCAGGTGGTCTTCCACAGCGGGAGGGTAGAGTCCAGTTTGTGGTTTAGGAAGTCAACAGCATTATCTTAGTTTATAAAAGGGAGGTGATTATCCCTGCCCACTTCCCCCCCAAAATGAGGAAAAGTTAATGAGCACAAGGTGCAGGGGCACTGAAGGCTGTGAGGGATTGCACAGACAAGGCGGCTATAAAGGTGGGATGCTTTACAGAAGGCGGGCTTCAGAAGGTAGGAGGTTGACAGACAAGCATCTGGTTTTAAGTGTTTGCTTTCCCATCCCTCCTGTGGCTAAGAAAGGGCCTGCCTGGCATGTTTACACATAGCTAAGGCGCAGGATCAAGCCGTGTTTCTTTCTGTTGTGCATAGGGTCGCTATGAGTCGCCACCTAACAATAACAACAACAATCAGCTCTTTCAGCCTGTGGGGAGGAAATAATGCTTGGGTGAAATACGACATTTAATGAACTGTGTGGGGCTGTGGGTGGGGTGCATTTGCTACATGGGAGGAGTACCAAGGCTGAGCCCATGGCAGGGCTAGACTTACTGCATTTTAGGTCTAGCAGAAGGAGCTCTAGATTTTGCCAACGTGCAACAAAACTGAAAAGTCAACTTCCTCAGTGTGGCCCAAACAGTGGCCTCTGAGCCTTCTTGCAGTGACTGTCAGTAGGAGGCAAGTTTCCTGGGCTGTCAACAGTCTCTGTCTTTGTGGGTCTCTTCCTCCTCCACAGCAGCAGTCTGGAAGGTTGCCTGTGAAAGGAAATTGTGAGGTGTTAAGGCTCCAGGCTGACACAGGATTTATCGTACCCAGGTACACATGATATCCACGCGCTGATCCTGGGAAGAGCAATCACAGGAATTCAGGCATTCACAGCTGGCAAATGAACACACTTCACCTTGGACCTGAGAAATCTGCGGCCCCTTTCCAGGGCAACTCCAGGGGACTGTGCTCAGAGAAGAGTCAGGGAGGAGGTGGGAGGTGGCTCTGATCTTTTGAAAGGAGCCAGCTTTCATGGTGGGAAGTGAGGGATTTTCCTTTTAAGTAATTCAAATTTACTGCTTAAAAGAAGATGGGCTTCTCCAAATGGACAGTTTCTCAATACAGTTTAATTGGAGGGTAATGGACTCCACTTACCTTTGTAAAGAAGCTTCTTTTGATGGGGCAACAGGGAGAGGGAAGGAAAGTGACTTTGAAGCAACTTCTATGAAACTGACTTAGTGTCTGACAAGCAAACCCTCCCTCACACCCAAAGTTTACTTTGTGCCCTCTGACCCTCCCACTTCTGAGGTGAGGGGTAGTGCCTTATGCCAGCCGTGGTGTCCAACCAGAGAGCGAATAATAAAGTATCTGCAAGTCCAGCCCTCACAGTGTCGGGTCACATTGTAATCACTTGAGCTGCGGTGTCCCCTGGAGCAGTCAGGCCCATGTGCAAGCTGTACGGCTCTTCTGTAATAAATAACCCTGGACTGGGCATTGCCTCATCCCCAGGGATGTACCGGGGCAGGATTGGGGGCAGAGAGACTTTGTCCTTTAGGTCACCACCATCACACAGCTAGCTCCTCAGTGTGTCAGTATGGGCACTCCATATTCCAGGAGGCATTAACACCACAAAAGAGGGGAGAGCCTAGAGGCAAGCCTTTGTACTTAGTGTCACCCCTGAGGGGTTTCTGTTCACATGTGCCTTCAGTTGAGCTGCTACCACCCTCTTTCCTTATGTGGCACTGTAGGATAAGTATTGAACTGCTAACTTCAAGATCAACAGTTCAACCCCACCAGCCACTCCTCGGAAACCCAATGCAGGGTTTACTATGAGTCAGAATCCACTCAAGGGCACTTAACAACAACCCTCTTTCCTCAGCCAACCACTCCATTCCCCATGCCCCTTGGTACTTAGTCCTACCTCCGGGTGTAGACATAAGTCTTTGTACACAGTCTCCACGGTGTGGCAGACTTGTTTGAGTTCTGTTTCCAAATGGCTGATCTTTGCCATTTTCTGAGTGAACTCTTGGAGTTTTTCCTGAATTATCTTGTTGTGGTGATTATAAATCTGATACATCCTCTCTTCTAACTTCTCTGTCAGATCTGAAACCTTTGAAAGAAGATGATACATTCTTGAAAAGTTTAACAGGGCAAAACAAAACATTTGCTCTAAGGGGACCTCTCTACAATTTATCTTGTAAGAATGATAAATCCCAATCCCAGTGTAAAATGCCTACGTGTTAATTTTTTTTAAGCAAGATACAGAATTAAGTCTTAACAGTAAGAGTCTAACCATGTTAGGAAAAAAGTTCACAGAACAGAGCCTAGAGGAAGACGTGCGACCAAGTAGCTCCTGGGTGATGGTATTGTAGGAACATTTGTACTTTTTGGACTACATTATAATTTTCTGTGCTTTCCAGTTTTCTATGACATGCTGGAGGGGCAAAACAAAGGAGGGAAAGGCAGCCAGTCATTAAGGGATGAAATGTGGAATAAACTCCACACACAGGATCCATCACATATTCTGAAGAGCATTAGGCACAATAATGAACATCAGATATGAGTGACTGACTTCATTAGACATAAGCCCACTCACACCTCAGCTATGTGACTCTCTAGATTAGTCATCTTCTGGAATATGAGTGTGATAAAATAAGCCAAGGAGTCCTGGTGTGGCCCTGTAGGATAAGCACCAGATCACAAATCAAACTCATCAGTTACTCCTCAGGAACCCTATACAGGGTCACTATGAGTCAGAACGGACTCGACAGCACTTAACAACAGAGCAAGCCAGAAAACTGGATGCATCTTTGAAGAACTACAACCAGGATGCAATTTGGAAGTAAGGGCAGTGAGACTTAGTCTCACATACTTTGGACATATCAGGAGGGACCAACCCATGGCAAAGGACAGCATGCTTGGTAAAGTAGACTGTCAGCCAAAGTGGAAGACCCTCAATGAGATGGAGTTACACAGTGGCTGCAATAGTAGGCTTAAGCATAGTAACAACTGTGAGGATGGCACAGGACAGGGCAGTGTTTTGTTCTGTTGTGCATAGGGTCAGAACCCACTAGCAACAGAGTAAGCTACACCTTAGCTTCCCATTCCCACAACTATTAGCCATTGTTTGAAATAAGAGGTCTGGGATTTGGATGCAGAAGGACCTTAAATTCTTCAACCCAGCTCTCTCAAATTATTCTAAAACCTTAGTTTTCTCATCTATAAAACAGGTCCAATCTCTTCTTTACAAGACTGATGGAAGGGTGAAATGTACTATTTCAGTACTCTGTACTATGTTGTACTATGCCAGTTGCCTAACTCCATGTCTGGAACCTAACAGATACTTGTGATGCTTTATCCCCTCCCCTTTTACAAAAGAATACCTGCCCCACTCCAGCTGAGCTTTTGCAGGGGGTCTGGGGGAATCTGTCACCTTAATCTTAAGGCTGTCCCTGAAGTTGGTCATGAGTGAGTGATCCTTTTGCCTGCTTTCATTGATGTTTTGGATGAGCTCCTGAGGTCTATTCTTCAAGATCTCGATGGTTGATTCCAGAGAGGAAAAGTAGGATGCTGACTTCCCTTCCAGCATCATTTGGCGATTCGCACTGGAGGTAGCAATAGAGGGACTAGAAACTTGACTTCTGAAATTACAGAAAACTGAGATTAGCACCAAATTCTCCTGAGGGGCTGATGTGAATTATATATTTGGTGGGAGGAAAACTGTGTTGTTTGCCTCTCCTGGGAGGCACCTGGCACGTTTCCTAGGTTATTTCATCCATCCATCTACCCTGACACAGGGATAGTATCCTGTAACAGAAAATAAACCAGGAGGCACAAATTAAATGTTTAAGGCCCCAAAACAATCACTGAAATGAGCATCTACTAATCAACCCGATGGACTGCTGGTGCGGCACTGTGGGTTAATGCGCCAGACTGCTCCTTGGAACCCTTATACAGGGTGGTTATGGGTCAGAACCCACCCGACAGCACTAGTAACAACTATGAGAGGAACACCAAAGATGCTTTCCTCTGTGACTTCCGGTCACTAACCTATTGTATATTGATGTGAAGCCCACAGCATGCAGGTCACCTGGGGTTAATGTACCTGAAGGATTCTGCTCCCACCAGGGAAGGCAGACAAGAGTTAGTTATGTTTGTTCCACACTGGTTGTAGGTTGTACATGTAACTAGATGACAATGATGTAATTTAATTAAACATTGTGAAATGAATGGTGAAAAATGACAGTTGTCTAAAAAGAAATTGAGTAAATAGCTAAAAAAGAATGAGACAGGTCTATTCCTTTATAAGGAGACATTTTACTGTAGAACAAACTATTTTACCACCTTCTAGCCTGAAATAAAGGGTCTCAGGACTGGGCAGTGTTTTGTTCTGCTAGATACAGGGTCGCTGTGATTTGGAACTGATCTGATGGAACCTAACAATGGTTGTTTGCACTCATCGATGGAGTTCTGGTGTGGTATTATGGGTTAATGCATTGCACAGCAAGGTAGGTTTGAACTGCAAGATTGGTGTTTCAAGCTCACCAGCTGCTCCCCGGAAACCCTATACAGGGCTGCTATGAGTTGGAACCAACTTAACGCCACTTAACATGGGTCTTCAAGTCAGTTCCAACCCATTGAACTGCAAGGTAGGCGGTTCAAGTTCACCAGCTGCTCCTCAGAAACCCTATACAGGGTGGATATGAGTTGGAACTGACTCAACGACACTTAACAACACTAACCTAATGGAGTCCTGGTGTGTTGATGTTGGATAAGCACCAGGCCACAAGGTCAGCAGTTCAAACTCACCAGCCACTCCTCAGAAACCCTATACAGGGCTGTTAGAAGTCTGAACAGACTCAATGGCATTTAACAACTAACCTAATGGCTGGCTATTCAAACCCACTCTGCCACTGTAGAAGAAAGGTCTAGCAATCTGCTTCTCTAAGGATTCAAGTCAAATGTTCTACATCTTGCTAGTGTCTGGGATCACAATAAAACATTAAAAAAAAAGTGTATGTAACCTTAACAAGAGGATTGGTCAGTTTTGCCATCCTACTGGGCTTAAAATGAGTCACCGTAGAGGCAGATGGTCTCATGACCATCAGGGATTGGAGACTGCCCTTTGGTCTTAAGATCCCTGCACAGAGAACCTCCTAAACCAAGGGGACAGAGCTATAACATTTAAGATGGTAAAAGCAGTGGCAGAAAAACAGCGGCAGCAGAACCAGGAGGCAGTGTGGTGGGCTTTTTAGCCTATAGAGCAAGAAAGCGGAGTGTCTTCCAGCAGAAGGATTGCTGACAGAGTAGGGTGCCTACATGCATTTACTGGCAGAGGGAAATAATAGCTTTTGACACTTGTCTGAGCAGGGTCAAGGGCCGGTGTTTCCTGAGTTGTTTCTGATCTGTTACTTCCCTAATAAACCCATATCATTAATTTTATCTATGAGTTCTGTGTGGCCATTGCCATAGATTATGGAACTCAGCAGACAAGTAGAGAGTGCCATAGGAGGGACAGTTGGAGTCAGAATTGGTCAAAAGACTGGAGAGAGGAGGTATGTCTGCCCTCCTCCTCATAGGACTTTGCCTTGGACAGGTGCTGCTGAGGGTTCTCCCTATGGACACCACCCCTATGCCATTTTTACACTCTGCAACACATAAAGTCATCTTGAACTGAAATGGACTGAAAAGGATGATTCTTGTTACTGTTGTTTAGCTGCAATTACTCTTTTCCAGAAATACACAAAACCAAACCAAACACAGTGCCGTGGAGTAGACACCAGCTCCTAGTGACCCTACAGGACAGATCAGAACTCTTCTTTAGGGTTTCCAAGACTAAATCTTTACAGGAGAAGACAGCCTTCTCGTTCTCTCATAGACCGGCTAGTGGGTTTGAACCACTAACCTTTCAGTTAGCAGTCTAATGCTTAATCCACAGTGCCACCAGGGCTCCTTTTTTTCCAGGTATAAGTGAGTCATAAAGAAACTAAGTTAAACCAGAGGCACAGCTATACTTTAACACAGATTTTCTGATGTACGTGGATAGTACATATGGAAGGTTTAAAAAAATAATCAACATTCTTTTTATCTCATCTACCATTCTCATCAACCAGACTGTCAACATTCCAGAAAATGTCGACATCACTCTGAAGGGACACATAGTTATTGTGGAGAGCCTCAGGGGAATATCAGTGTAGAACTGTCTCCTTGGAAAGAAAAAGAAGCGATTTCCTGTTGAGAAATGGCAGGGAAATACAAAGGAACTGGCTACAGTCACACTATCTGTAGTCACATGCAGAATATGATCAAGGGTGCTTGTTATGCTGGGCTTCCGTTAAGATGAGATCTGTGTAAGTTCATTCAAGAGAGTGGATCTCCTGTTGAAACTGTAACTTCTTGGGTGAAAAATACATCTGTAGGGTTCCGATGAGGGCAAGTGTTATTTGTGCAGAAAGATGAATTAATTCTTGAAGGAAATGACACTGAACTTGTATCAAATTCAGCTGCTTTAATTCAGCAAGCTATGACAGTTAAAAACAAGAATAGCCAAAAAATGCTGGATGGTATCTATGTCTGAAAAAGGAACCATTCGACAAGTTGATGAGTAAGATCTAAGGACTATCCAGCTACAGAAACAAGGCCAGATGGTTCCTAAATCTATTGGTGATATTTTTTGATGCAATAAAATTCATTTAACCTGGTGTGGCGCTGCAGGATAAGCACTGGACTGCTACCTTCAAGCCCACCAACCATTGAGGACTGACCAGGTCAGAAAGACCCACCACATGATACCTCAGGATCACCTCATGTTATAGATTGACCTCAGGGAAGAGGAGCTGGAGTTTGCATTACAGTAATGAGGCTTCCAATAAAAAGTGGACACAGAAGCTCCATGGGCTTCCTGGTTGGCAGAAAACATCTGCTCTCGGAAGGATGATATGACCCCTTTGAAGAAACTCACTTTGGAAACCCTCCCAAACCTTGCTTTGTTGTTGTTAAGTACTGTCAAGTTGGTTCCAACTCATAATGACCCTGCCTAGGGTTTCTGGGGAGTGGCTGGTGGGTTTGAACCACCAATCTTGCAGTTCAAACCAGCCTTGCAGTCTAGCGCATTATCCTACAGTGCCACCCCTAAGAGTCTCTTTATGCCTATCCTGATTTGTATTTTTTACTATAATAAATCTATAATTATAACATTTTCTGTGAGCCGTTCCAGCAAACCATTCCTATAACCCAAAAGTTTTGGGAGTCAGCAAGTCAGACATGAGAGAACCCAGTGGGGATTCTTAAGCTTATGGGGTCTGAAGGGCAGTGTCCCTTTAACTTGTGAGATCTTACTTAGCTCCTCCAGGTGGCCAGAGTCATGGAGGGAAGTGTTGCATGTTGCAGCTGGTGTCAGACTTGAGTAGTGAAAAAGTGGGGATTTGATTATGATTATGATTATCCTCATATAGGGCCAGTGCCGAGTCTTGGTTCTAGCTTTAGGAGTGTTCCTCAGGGACATCTGGTATCTGGTCATCCCCCTCTGTTTCTTCCTACCAGCCATTTCAAACCTTCATAACTCACCTGTACCTGATTCCCCCTCAGTTTCCCCTTAAGGAAACAATGTAGATCAATAACCTTCCCTGCTTTCTGCTCCCCAACCCTCATAAATATATCCACAACCACCCTTCCTTTTTCCAATCCTGCCAGTCAAGTGGGAGAGATGTTTCATGCCTCTGCCTAACTTCAGATTCTATCCCCTAACCCCTCCTTCTTGTGTCTTTAATCTCTCCTTTTTTATGGCCCTTTTCCTTTAGCATATACCTCTCTCATCTTGAAAAAACACACATACACAAACACATACAGAGACAGATCTTTCCAGCCACCCCAGGTTTCCTTGGCTCAACAGTCACCTCCTTTTTCTCTCATTATGGTCAGGGTTCTAGAAAGAACTGTTGACCCTTTCTGAAAGTGCTTCCCTATGTTCCACTCAACCTACTGCCATCAGGTTTCTGCTCAGGTCCTGAAGGCCCTTTAGACTGTAACTCCCTTGGCCTCTTCTTTGTTCCCTATACACTCATCTCAGATGCAGTGAGGCCCTCCATAACCTCCCCAGGACTCATCACTCTAGTTAATCTTTTTCACCAAATCACAACACACAACCTGGCCCTATCTCAGATCCTGGGATCCCTTGACACTCCCTTTTGCTACCTAAATCCTGCTTCCTCTGCAACGTCTTCCCTGGCTGTGTTAAGAGTAGACAGAGTCAACTGTCTACATTTCAAACTCCCTGACAAGTCTCAGGGAAGACAGGGGACCATATCTTAGTATCTACCACTACAGATGAACTACCAGATGGAACACATAGAAATCAAATAGACTACATCTGTGGAAAGAGAAGATGGAAAATTATTGAATGATGCAGAATGCATCAAGAAAAGATGGAAGGAATACACAGAGTCATTGTATCAAAAGGAAATGGTTAATGTTCAACCATTTCAAGAGATACCATATGAACAAGAGCCAATGATATTCAGAGAGGAAGTCCAAAGTGCATTGAAAGA